GCATCTATGGATTAGGAAAGCTAACGGGAAATCAGCGATCATCTTCTTCATCTGCTCGATCTTGTGGCATCGACCACGCCGCCCTCGAGGAATCTCTAAAAGAAAGAGATGAGCGGATTGCAGCTTTGGAGAAGCAAATGGAAGACGATCGAGAGGCGACTAGACGTAGTTTTGAAACTTTCAGACAAGAGATGCTTGGTTTACGGATGAACCTACCTCCACACCCGTACTCGCCTTCAAACTCAAGCCCGTAGTTTTTTTTTTAATTTGGGATAATTTCAGAATTTATTATTTAAAATATTATTAATAATCATTATAATTTTAATTCTATTATTTCATTTAATTGTTTTATAAAAAAATAATTTTAAATCAATAACTAATTAATAGTTTTGGGAAAATAGTGGAAAATTACTCCCCTCGGTTTTTTGTCGGTTTAATTAGGATCGGTTTGGAAAAAAACCCGTCGGTTTGGCGTCGGTGTTGGAAAAAAAAACCCGTCGGTTTTGGGCAAAAAAAACTCATCGGTTTGGCGTCGGTTTTGGGCAAAAAACCCGTCGGTTTGGCGTCGGTTTTTCTGTCGGTTTTCGTACTCGGTTTACCATCGGTTTACTGTCGGTATAACCATCGGTTTTCCGTCGAGAATATTTGACGGTTTACTGTCGGTTAATCGTCGATTAGGTCGTCGGTTTTTCGTCGGTTATAACCAACGAAAAACCGACGGAATTGATTTACCGACAAGATAGAACCGACGGAAATTGTTTTTCGGTTTTCCGTCAATTAGACCCTTTTCCAACGCCTAACCGACGAATAGGCTTGTCGGCCACTGAATGTTTTCTTGTAGTGCTATGGTTTTTTTACATCATGATAAAAACCACTTAGTTTGATACATGAATATGGGTTAAACAAAACTATACACAAGTGAAGACTATAGCGAGTGACCATTGAGTTGGATCCATTGACTTATATTTCTTTAGTTTAAGAATAATATTAGCTCAAAAGAACTTATGGATTGATTTTTTTTCTCGAGAAAACTCTTATTTGTTTGGACTAAAATACTAAAATTATAAATCAATAAAGCAGTTGAATATAGATGAACATATGATTAACTTCTTTTTCACATGAAATATATGATTCACAAGATCACTCTAGTCGAAGTTTGTTCTACATAGGCAAAATGATAAGCGATTAACGAAGAAGAAACAAACAATTAAGCTTGGGAATTATAATGATCAGGAGATATGATGTCTTTGATGTAGCCACCAAGCCATGGATCCATTGTCTCTGACCTAATCTCCCATATCGGATCAAACAGTTCCCACGGCATACTCTTTAGATCCTCGACCGTAACACCCAACTCCTCAAGGGTCACGTGTCTATAGCCACTACCGAGAATCTCTTCCTCGCTCGAACCGTTCTTCTCCTTCTTGTGAAGAGTAGTAGAAGAAGAACATGAATCCACTCTTGATACATCATCATTGTTCGGTAACCCCTTGACCACGATACTTAGTTCGTTGAAAGACCCAACGTAGTCCCACCAAGACCCTAGTCTCGGCTTCTTCTTCGTCTTCGGCTCTAGGGTTTCCTCCTTGTCGACGGTTGTGATTACATCATTAGAAGGTAGTGAGACCAAGGAGTTAAATGTCGGAGAATCTAGGGTTTCCTCCTTCGGCTCTAGGGTTTCCTCCTTGTCTGTTTTCTTATTCTTGGAATCTAGGGTTTCCTCGTCGTCGTCGTCGATGATGATGATTGTAGAAGTAGAAGTCAGAACGTCTTTGGTCTGACTCGAACGTTGCTTGGTGAGTCCGATCTGCGACTCATGAGTAGTCTCTTGTTTCTCATCTATCGCCATGTTTCGTAACAATTGTTGATAAAAAACAAAAAAAACGATGAATATTTGGAGAGAAACAAAATCGATTAGAGAGACTATTTTTTAATTTGGGTTTTGTTGTTTGAGCGTATAAAGATTATCG